TTCCTGTTTTATCCCCTTCTCACCCCATGCCCTCAGTAGCCAGGGTCAGTGGACCACAGCACACTGAGTTGCAGAGGGCTCCTGTGCACGTGGGCACCCACAGAGCCAGCAGCAGAGAGGGTGCAGTCCTAAAACTGCTCCTGTCCCACCAGCACAGCTGTGCCTCATGCTTCCTCCCCCATGAAGGCACCTGTTCTTCCATAGCTTGAAGGTCTTCCTCCATGTGAGGGTCTCTGTTGGCAAAATGTATGAGCCACCATCCCCTTTCCCCTCCCTTTCTGCTGGAGGAAGGGCACACGGGGCGCACGCCTGGCTGGCCACTGCCCCAGTAGGGTGGCTGAGATTAAGCACTTCTACTGCTAATGGGGAAGCGCAGAGAGGGGAGCAGTGCCATCACCCATGCTGGGTGCGCTGACCCTGAGCGATGCTGCACAGTCCTGCGGCACCCACGGCCCCAGTGTAGAGAGATCGCAGGGGTTTACGAACCAGCGGGTTGCAAGGGCTGTGCAGTTCATTAGCTGCCCGACTCACTTCTGAGGGTTGGTAAAAAAAATTAAGTATTTGTTGATCCGTGGAATAAACACACAAACTGGCACCACAAAAGGGACACTCTGTACATAGCTGACACCCAGCTTTGCAACAAACACACACATTCTTCCCCAAGGCTGCAGATTGCCCCCCTCAACTCAGGCAGACTTCCACCCACCTTACCAGAAGCCATGCCGGAGGGCACCCACTGCCCCAAAGGTGTTGGGAGACCCACTCCTCCCTCTGGACATGCTGTCCTAAGGCACAGAGCTCTCAGCAAGAAGCCCCAGACATACGCAGGCTGTATTTGCCAGGCGAGAGCAAGCACAGCTAGGATATGCCCCACCACACATGCTCCCCTTCCCTCCCCTCATGCGCCGGAAGGATTATGGGGCCGGTACAGGGAACTTCTTGTCCTGCCAGGGCATGAACCTTCCTCTCCCGGTCTCCAGGAGGCACAAAGCAGCTCCAAGCTGTTGCAAGCAGACAGGCTTTGTACAGAGTTCCCGCAAACATCACTGCTTTTATTTAAAGCAGAAAACACAGGATGTTACAGATGAGTGGAAAAATGTGAACTGCCCCACTGCCTGCAGAGCCCCTCAGACTGGAGAATGCTTTTCTGGAAGTCAGAGGGTCTCCAGACAGGATTAGGAAAGCACAGAATGTCTGCTTTAGCTTTTTATTTTTGCCCTGCTTGGCTGCAGCTACACCTCCCTGCACCCCACACGCAAACACCACCCCCCCAGACAGGGTCCCATACCTTCCCTCCCACTTACAGCTTCCCATAGCCCTTTTATATCCAGCTCCTGGGAGGCCTTTTTCAGACTCCTTTTGTCAGCTCCATCTCTTTGAAACACTGGAAAGCTACCAGCAAGAAGCCTGGCTCCGGCTCCCCACCGCCAGTGCTGGCAGCAGCTTGCCCAGTCCTCTGCCAGGCTCTGCCCCTCCACAGGAGCCTATGGGCAGCCCCAGCCCAAGCTGGACAGGAGCAGCAGCCACCACTGCCCCTGCTCAGATTTACACAGACAAGTTGTACCATTCAGGGGCTCAACAGCTCGCACAGCAACTCTTTATAGCGCCCACCAGCATGCACAAAATGGCAGCATTCCCAAAACTCTGACACCTGTTACAGAGTTTCCTTACACAGCTTTGGGGAGGAATCATTAAAAAGATCTAATTTTATTCCCATTTTGATGATTATACAAGATAAAAAAGGCCACAGGTAGATTTTTTTTTCCCTCCTGCTTATGTTAACATATGTTTTTTATTCTTCAAGCTAAACAACCACCAGCCAGTCTATCTAACATGCTTATTAAGATAAACTGGAGATATCTCAAACATCTAATTTCAGAAAATCAACTCTTATGACTTACTTAAACCATCCACATAGTCCTTTACTGATACTACTTACCTTACAGTGACTGGAAAGCTAGAAAGCAGCAGCAAACCTCAGGGCAAAGCACAAACCACATCAATCCTGCAGAGCCAAGTTACCTTTAATGGTGTTATGCTTAAATTATACCCCTTGAAACACCTGGCCCAGAGTGCCTTCTAATTGATTACAATTAGAAACTGATGATTGGCTTGCCCTTAGTGTCAGTGACCACAAAATGATCTGATGAAAAGAGAGGCAGCTACTGTTTTTTAAACACAGTTCCATTTTTTGAGCATAGTGAAATAGCTAAGCAGTGCATTGAATGACATAGTATTACTCATATGCTTAAGCACCTGGGTCCTTGATCTTGTGCTTTATAAAGTGCTCTGAGCTGTGCTGTAATTGCCTATAAATATGCTGCTGATCATGCTTAAAGGGACACTGTCAAGGTTGGCAGGCCTACAGTTTGACTTAGTAAAATGACATCTTAAAATAGTTTTATTCTCAGTGTTCCTAAATTACCAGCCTGTGGTTTTTATCATGCTTCTTTTTAGCAGTCCAGCTCCTAGGATTAATAAGGTTATGGGAGAATGTTCACTTTTAAAGCAATGGCCCAGTCATAGAAATAGTATGATGGAGGCTAGCGTTCCCAACCTGAACATGCCAGTAAAAGCACTTTGCTGTAACACCTATTTTTCCTCATGTGAATGGGCATGATCTCTATTGCCCTTACGGTTTGCCATAAGGTCACCCCTTGTTGAAGCAACATCTTGTGAAAGAAATCTTCAAGAAAGAGCGCAGGAGTGAGGAGATCAGGTCTGGGCAAGTCTGCAGCTGCCCGAAGTACCCGTTTTCCACGGTGTCTCTTTGTCAGTCAGTAGCCTTGTCCTAGTTGAGGGGAGGGGATGCAAAAAGAGTGAGTCAGGGAGCAGAGTTACAAAGCTGGTGAGGAGCCTGCAACTTCATCTCATCCACAGCAGTGCTGCCAGGGTGCAGAGGGGTGACGGGATGGGGAAATCCCAGGGACCAGGGATGAGAGCCCTTTCCCATACTGTCCCTTCTGTGAGAAGCTCTGTGGCTGGAGCCCAGTGGCGGGGGAACTGAAGCCAGCTATTGAGGAGTTTTTTGAGGCAAAGAGCAGTTCTGGGCTTTCTCTTAAGGACAGAATACAAATAGCCAAGGAATGAAAGGTAGCCTGGGATTATGCCTTTTATGAAGGGCCTGATTTGTTTCTGAGCTGAATAACTCAGCTCCCTCCAGCACACTTTGCACTCATGGAAAACCTGCAGTGCCACAGTAACCAAACCCAGAGGTGCCAGTAAATGAAAAAGTGTGGCTTGTTGGTGCCAGGGACAATACAGGAGAGGGGTCTGCTGAGGGGCAACAGGGGGAGAAACTGTAAGTGAAGGCAGAGCTGATAGTGCCAAGGTGACAGTGTAGAAAGGCATTTTTGGAAAAGGAGATGTGGCCTTAGCCCCACTGTGGTAACCCACTAGACTCTGTGCTGCAAGGTTTGAAGGCGAAGTCTTGAGTTTCCCAAGACCTGGGCCTACAGCCAGGCTTCACCTCCCTTTCTGACCGGGAGGTGAAAGATTTACAGATACCGTAGATGTGAGGCAGCATATTGGATGTGCTTATTCATCACATGTGTGTGTTAGTCACAGGATAGACACTGTGTGAACTCTAGAGACTTGAGGGAAGCCCCAGCAATGCATAAAAGTAAACTCAGAAAGAACTAAAAACCACATAGAAAAGAAAGGTCTCCGGAGCCTGGGAAAAAGGCACACCTGCAGCAGCCATGCTTCAACCAGGGACTGGTGAGCACTCATGGCTGGTGGCATCACTTGATGTTGCAGTTCCTCAAGAGGCAGAAAGAGTAAAAATCTTCCTCTTAACTTTTTTTCAATTACAGGAAAGAGAAGAAAGTAAAAAAAAAAACAAAAAACCAAAACAACCTCAGGCTGAAGATCCCACAGAACAGAAAAGGGCAAGTCTAATGTCAGTCTAACAACAGACCCAGCTCAAAGTTTCAGCAGGTGGGAAGGTGCTCCCCATGCTTCCTGTACAAACGCAAAAGAACAGGGCAGCATAAGAGCTGTGTCTCTCACAGAGGCCAGCCTTGTAGGGTGTGAACATGGATGTGGATAAGAGCTTTGGGGAAGTCTCATGCGTCTAACACCACAGGGTGCATTTTGCGCTCTTAACAGTTACAGAGAAACACTTGAAAGTGCAACCTGCATATATTTGAAGAGCTTCCAGAAACCAGAATAACAGCAAAAGTCTGTACTTTTAAAAATCTCATGCTTTTTTAGACAAAGCTCATATCTCCTGATGTGTTTCGAGCTGACTCAGTATTTTTAAATGGCTGTCCTTGAGAATTGTAAATCTTGTTTTATTTTTTCTAGGTTTATTCCATAGAAATGCTTAAAAAGCAATAAAGTCAATCTCAATAGCCTTGCTTAAATCCATGATTATATCAATTCCGTGTTGTGGGTATGCAGGGAGAAACTAACTGAGTAGGAAATTGTAAGGGATTCCTGTAACAATAGTTACATTGTTGGTACATAGGTATAGCGTAATAATAGCAGAAAAGCAATAGCTACCTTGCAGCTACAAAAACCACCCAGTACCCTTTAAAGATATGTTTGTGTATGCTGTGTTTACCAAGATTAACAGTGTCATTAGGGACTGATACATTATGTACGATATATCTTCCATCTGATTTACTGAAGTTTTCTCTGGGCTTCTTTTCTTCAAAACTGTGGTTGTGCCTGATGTTCGCCAAGAGGAACCCAAGTTCCATGAAAACTCCAACACCTGGAAGCTGAGATCAGGAGTGTGCAAGAAACATGAATTAATTTAAAGACAGTGCTTTATAATGGACCACATAAATTTTCCCGCTGTAATTGGTATATACATTGAACATTTTATTGTATGTCAGCGCACATTATTCAGCACAGCTGCTGGAGAGGCATTGCTGAACTGGTGTTTCTCTTCCATGACAAACACCTATTAAGCAGTCAGCATAAACTCTTCTTGTTACAGCCTCTGACATCACCCTCAGGGCAAGCGGACACAGAACAGCAATTGCTGAATTGCGTATGAAAATTATAGTTTTATTGTCTATACAAGTGAAGGTTTAACTCCGATTCCTGCTCGAGTCAGCTCTGTTATAAAGGAGCGATTCTTTCAGGGAACAAACAAGCACAGTACACCATTGTATTCAAAGGAACAGGCACTATTTATGTATTGGAAAGCCTTGTTCACAATAGTGCTAACATTCTAATGCCCCAGAAGCCACTATTTTAGCAGCTGTAGAGAAAAAAAGCATGACTAACAAGATGCCATACAGAGTCAGATACAGTTTTTTTGGAACACAAATGGAATCATCCCACTTGATACAACTCAGTTTACTATGCACGACTGGTAAGTAGGGATCATGTATTTAATGTTTATATAAGCAGTTTCTCCACCGCAGCGTTCAAAGGCTTCCAGTGTCTCTTGAATCAGATCTCCAACATTTTCACGCTTCTGCTGGCTGTAGTCTATCCCATCGCCTGAATTAACTGGGTAATAAAACAAAAAACGCAAGAATTATATTAAATTGACTGTTATGCTTTGAAATAATGACATAGGAAGTTGCAATTGCTGGTCGGTCACTGTGCTTCTATTACACACTTTGCTTTGTGACACGAAACAGAGCTGAATTTGAGAATAGGGTGGTTTGGGTATATCTTTAAGGCTCTGTTCAGGCTCCAACTTTATATGCCTTCAAAATTTGTTTATGTACGCACTACTTCAGTATCTAAGTGAAAATCCTAATAAAAATAAAGGCATTTTCTTATAAGATAAAGATAGATGCTCTCTTACACAGTTAGTCTCTGAAGACTATTACTTTTTTAGTTCTAACATTGCTTATTTAGGACAAAATTCTACTGCCAGATGCATAAATGCTTATGTATAAAATGTGACTTAAGCTAGACTTGTTATGGTTTGAAATCTTAAATAGGTACTGTTTTGGGATTGTTCTGTGTTAGACATCATATTCACACACTTATGTTTTTTTCTGATAGAGAGGATGTCATGTGGTCTAAAAGGGATATTTGGAGTATAACTGGCACTCATTCAATTTCTGCTCCTGAAAAATGTGTAAAATTAAGCCAATGTCAAAAAGATGAATTATTGCAGCCCCCAGATGCAGTAATATTTACTGATGCTTTCTCTAACATGGACTAGCAAGGATGACACACGTTCATACACACAGAGCATAATTCTTTAAAAAAATCAGTGTGAACAATTGTGACAAAAAGAAATAGAAGAATAAGAAATAACTTCACTTGCAATGATGCTGAGAGATTAAAAGGAGGAAAATATATTTCGTTTTGTTTTAAAACAATATTCTGAACACTATCTTAATATGGGCATATTTGAAGACATATATAAAAAGTAACTCGGTAGGAGCATAACATACTCAGATCAGGTGTGGTGTAGTGGCTAGCTGGAGCGGCTGTCACACTGCTGTAGGGTAGTCCACACGCAATCAGTCAGTGGTCTCACTTTGGGCAGTGGTGGCAACGTGCCCATGTCATACATTTGACACCTCAAATAATGCTGCTTGCTTATTGTCCCTCTCAGCTGGCCAGCAAAGGACACATTTGTCAAGACAAGGCAACCAACGACTCGAGTAGTGCCTGCCTTTCACATTAGAAACATGGTGCAGACAAGGGCGAGGGTAGATTTTGCACCCACTGCTGCCTCCACAACCCCAGGCCAATGGGGTGCAAATGTACAACTCCACCCATCCTCACATCCTCTCCTGGATCTCAGCCCAAGGATCTGGATTTAAAGTTTGCGGCTTTGTTACCAGTAAAAACTGATGAGCAGTGCTCATGAAGAAAGAGCTGATGAACACGGGTAAAAATTATCCTTTTGTTGAATTTTCCTTTACAATATCTGACTGCGCTCCAAGTTAATTATGTGTATATCAGTTTCTTGAACTCCTTACACACATTCGTGTCACTTTGCTTTTTGTAAAATGTTTACAGAAATGCAGATGTGACATACAAGTACTGGGCTTCTGAGCAGAAAGGCAGTTATTTTTTGGTGATGATTACTCTTAAGACATAAATAATTTCCCATATATTAAGTATTTATTTCACTAACATCAGAAGCTAGGGTTGTGATACCAAAATTTATTACAATGAATTTACTGTAATGTTAGAAATAATAGATTATGAGAGTGCATAGAAAACACCAAGAGCTATTAAATAAAAGGATTAGCTTATACAAAATACTAATGCAAAAAGAAAAGCATACCACAACTGAGTGCAATTTAGACTAAACATGGTTTGCTCTTGCAGAAAACAACTGAGATCAACTGTGCCTCATTACCTGTGTTGCATGTGCACTGCCAGCACTCCCCAGAACACCTGGAGGTATTTTGGATTTCACCAGTTTGAGCAAAGGAAACCCTGAACCTTGACCTAAGTCTTGGCAAATATGTAAAGGAATTACTGACTTTCCAACCATTTGTCTATTATCTGTAATTTTAAGCCTACACACATGCTCTGCTAATGAGCTTACACAGCTTTCATCGCTCTTTCAAAGAGTAGTAAAAAAATCAACCCTCTGGAAGTAATGGTGATACATTGCTAAGCAAGTTTGGAGGAGGCCAGTAGGACACCATGATAAAGCTGGTAACAGATGTATTTGCCAGAATCCCATGTTACAGTCTTTATTATAGAGCATAGTCTGTACGATAAATGATGCCTTAGATGCTTGATTAAAAGGTGCCTAAGAGAATGAGGCAATGATAAAGGAAATAGTCTGCAAGGGAAGACTCAATGTGTGATGAGCAGACCGCCATTACGATTTTTTTTTCCTACAGACCATCTGTGCTATATGAAGGCTTGTATCCTCAAGACAGCCATAATTCATGTTAATGTCATGACACAAGCTACAACCAACAATACCAGAAAGTTTATGTCAGTGTTGAGGTCACCTGGTAAGTACTAAAATAGCTACCCTATGCAGTTATAGGAATTAACAAATCTTTCAGACAAAAAAGATAATCATTAACCCAACAGGACAACATCTACTAAATGGATGAGTCAGAATGATCTGCCCAATGCACCTGAGGGTAAGTATCTAGTCATAATAATAATGATGATTAGTTGGAAAAAATAGCTACTGAAGTACAGCGGTCTCAGCATGTCCTTCTCTGGTTTGACTCTATTTCCAAATTAGTTTGCGTGAGAAACCAACTTTGTCCGTCACAAAAATGTGGCATATGTAAAGTGTGAACATGGATCTGATTCAAGCTCTCAATGAAGTTGTCCTTTGTGAGGGAGAATAAATCAACATGAAAATGATAGGAAGCACTTTTGTCCTATCTTTGTCTCAAACTGAATTGTCCGGCAAATTCAGCATGTATCAAGGACTCTTTTCAGAGGAAATGTTATTTCTGTGTTTGGAAGATATGCATGGAAGCAATACTAACAGATCTAGAGCATTACAATCATGAAAAGATCTTGTTTACCTTTCTGGATCAAAAGTTAGTTCCCAGTCTCCTAAATCATGCACCAAGGGTTTATGGTCCTTAAAAGTGAAGTGAAAGGCTTTGCACCTGTCAAGACCTGTGCTAGCTGATGAAAACAGCCAGCACACCAAGCCCAGGAGTGGCACTCCCTGCCCTGCCATCAGCGCTGCAGATGCCAGCTGCTGTAGCCGAGGAAACCCTGCTCAGACCCTCAGGGAGTGAACTCAGCATTTGGCAGGGAACGGAGGAGGATTTGAATTTTGCTTTAAAACATGGCTTGTATTTGAGTCTAGACATGCTTCTATTCGTGACTCAGGATATTAAAGAAATTCTAGTGTTATTTGTATTCCGTCTCATTTAATTTTAAAATTTCACTAGGGTAATACTACAAATATAAAATTGTATTGCATTAAAGAAGGACAAGCAAGTTTCTCTCAGTGCATTAAGAGCTTGGTAGGGCAGTTTTGAAGTCCTGGAGTGGTTGAGAAAGTTAAACCAACTCTTAAAGCTCAGTCAGATCTATTCTTATCTCTGGACATTTGTTAGCATCTGAAAGTGTCCTAGACATTCTTTCTGTTTATTAGATTTCACTTCAAAGCAGGCCAGGTCTCAAATAGAGTGTTTTTTAATCCCCCAAATATGTCAAAGTATCTCACTGGAAGTATCTTGCAGATACCAGAGCTTGCTCCTAGTTGTGGCTGTTCCCAAGGTTCTGCTTCATGGAAAGCACAAATTAAAACAAGTGTTTTCATACACCTGTTGTTGTTCTTGGGGTGTCATAGATTTTGGGATATTACAATTTCCCCAAATGGTAAATAGCTGAGGAATGCTTAGTGTTGGAGGACAGAGTAATACTTAAAAGAGGTTTCTGAAGAGACTGTGAAAGAAGCCCGGTGTCCCTAGCTTAAGCAATATTTTTAATCAAATTGGAACTCAAAGGCCATTCCTTTATTTTTTACTGATGAACTTTTGAGAGCATATACCCACATATATATTTCAACCTGTTGTTTTGGAACAAGTGGGTCCTAACAGAAATTGTTTAACTACTCAACAGAGAGCTCTTTTGTATAATTGGGTTTTTCTTCTACACAGATCAATACAGCTACTTGGAAAGATAGGCATCATTCATCCCTTTTTGAATCTTGAGAAACAGAGATACTGAAAGTTAAAGTGATTTTCTGCAAGTCATGGAAGGGCTCAGTTGCTAATCACACCTTTTGACTTTATATTGTAGATGATGAAAGTACTATTTATGGTAAAATATAACTATGGTAAAAATAATTTTTAAGCTGCTCAGTTCACCTTAGTCAAACCAACAGGTATTTTCAGCAATTAAAATTATTACAGTCATCCAACATGCTGACCACTTAACTGAATAAAATCTCTACTTCAAAAAACCAACAGTGATGGGATTGTAAAGTGCAGATGTATTTCTCAGTATGGAAATGTATTCCTACAGAAAAGCCTGTCACAGAACAATATATAGTTAAGCAGTAGAAACTAGCATTAAAATATTTTGTGGAAAATTTCAGGACTTCATCCCTTCTAGGAATCAGCATCAGCACCAAGAAATAAATGGAAGAAGATTTCAGCTACAGATTGGCGTGCATGTGTGTCAGGGTTCACATCGCATAGGTATAGTTCAGAGCTTAATTAATTTTTCAAAGTCCTCTTGTTAGGATTAGTTTAATTGTCATAAAAGATGTTGGCTTCCTGACCGGAGTGGAAAATGAAAGTCCCTGATGAGTCAGTACGGTGGGAGGGAGGATCGCTTCTTTGCACCGCTCCTCTCGCTGTGACTCAGAACTGTGCTTTGAAATTGTCAGCTCCAGGAAGGATGAGGTAGTTCGCTCTCCATGTTCATTTAATTGGAAGTCTGTGAAAAGTCACAGGCTAAGACTCAAATCCTCCTGTCTGCTAAGAAATGGAGGGACACCTCTGGTTCATTTCACTCAGGTGAAGGAAGAGCCACCAGGAGGTTATGACTTCTGGTTGTTACTAGCCCAGACAGAACACCCTGTGTTCTGT